CCAAAATCTCTTCACATTTTTGTTTCCCTATATTAAAAAATACACAACTATGATTCAGTGAAGTTAAAAGAAAAGTGGCTTCAATTTCAAAATTTTAAAATTTAAGTGTTCACCTTTATGTATGATTCCCAAGCAGCATCAGTTGCGGTTACAATACTGAGCACGGGTTCCCATGTAAACCCAGGTTCCTTCAACAGCTTACTAAAATCATTAAAACGGGTTCTCAGCTGGTTAAACTTATTTCTAAACTGAGAATTGTTGTACCTCTTGTTGGTTTTCTCATAGAACTCTTGTTCAATTTGTTTCCAACCTTTCCTTGAAAAGGTGGTTGATGATCTATTCCCTTTGTGAACCTCTTTCACCATTAACTGAATATAAAGTTCCTCCTCTAAGGCTGTCCATGTTGCAGGATCGGGCTCAATTTCTATCATCTCCTTCATTTAGTCTAAGTGCCATCTAAATAGGAATATAAAAACTTATGTAAGCCAGAAAAAAGTTGATCAATAATCATACCTTAGCTCAAGAAACATCAAAATAGTAGAAGGTTCTGTATTAAGATGTCTGAAATATGGTGAATAAACCGAGCATGGCTCATCAGAGTATGATAATTACTCAACTCAAGACCGCAAACCAAACAATAAAATTATAACAGGTGTTTGCTTCATTGGACTAAGGCATGGGATTGGACTCTATATCCAATAGATTTACTAGTCCATCGTTTGGTTAGAAAAATGAGAGTCAGACTAATAGTCAAATACATATCATTTCTAGTCAAATATTCCAGTGACTATTTATCTCAGGCCTAACAGTCCATTGCATTCCAATCCCAAGTTAAACTGTGTTCATAAAACTCAGACTATCTCAACCAAATGAACTAAGACTGATATATCCAGAGTGAGACCAACAAACCTCATGATAGTTTCCAAAGCAGAAAGCTACGAGGTCCCAAGGCCAGTCAACTTAATTATTTCTGACAAAACCACCAACTTCATTCGATTAAAAACAAAATACCAAGAAAATAAGGATTGTAGTAACTTTACATGCATGCATATGAAACTAGTAAAAAAATATCAAGGAGACCTTATTCTTTCTTTAACGTTAAGGATGCATTCGTTTCATTCACTCCAGATCTATCCTTGGAGGTTTTTGCAACATTTTCCCCTGCACAACATTTATTTTGTTTTTCTCCCAAATATTTTATAAAAAAATCTGCTAACCTTTGATCGAAAGCACAGGTTTGATTGACTCAAACAAACAAACAAAAATCCATTTAAGCCTGGAAACAAAGAAGCCATGCAGCAATCATGTGAATCGCAAACCAGCACTAGCAGTTGCTCCATGCACATCTCTTGCAGAACCTACTTAGTTTCACAACTAAATTGCGAGGTGATGGGGGAAAGAAGAAGAAAGGAGAATGAAAGATATAAAAGATGGGAATCAAAGTTTCACTGTGGGAGGTAAAATTAGCACCAATTGAACAAGGTCTAGCTCGGATGAGGTGACAAGATCTGCATGGGCAGATCCAAGCAGGGCACATGGAAGAATCTGAGAGACCACTGCAAATATTCCACCTGGCTTCTAAGAATATAAGGAGTATATAAAACTAACCAATTGCCATAACAAATAACTTGTCAACGCAATTTTCAATCATTTGCAGAGTTGTATAAAAATGTATAAGTGAGTGTATAAAATTAAAATTATATAAAAAAGTCATTGGATTATCTAGGGGGATGTGGCTAAGAAACGAAGAGAATAGGAAAAAGACGGAGCGGTAGGAGCTATGGGTAAAATAGATATTTTCAAAAAAAAAAAAAAAATTTGTTGACATCATCCAATTTTGTTAGTTGACCTAAGTCTTTATGAAAAAGAAAATTGTAATGTGGTTTAAAACCTCGAGGGGTAGGATGCATTTTCCATAACCACAAGGGATGAATTTATAATTTACCCAAATATTTTCTAAATGAAAAGAAAAAATGAATAAATAGAAGTAACACCAATATAAAAGTTTTGAATATCCTCTCATGGCTATAAGCCTAAAACTAGGAGCTCCTTTGATGTCATATGCTATTCTAACGAAGGGATTTTGAAAAAAATGCTGTCACTTATTTGATGATGAATTCCTTCCTGAGGAAGTGGTTGTCAAGCATATTATTGACATGGTAAGATTCCGTATGTTATCTGTTTCTAACCTGAAAAGCCATCCAGGTGACAGGTGGTTCCTTGATACATGGAAACTGCCAGATTCAATATTAAAGAATAGCCCCAATCATTTGGGAAGAGAAATGAGGGATGAGAGTTCATTAAATGTGGGTTGGGTGATTGGGAAGATATATTGAATGTTTCCAAATGTTTTGTTTATTGTGCAGGTTACAAGGAGCTGTTATGAGAGTTAAACCATTTCATAGAGGTTTGAGTGTTGTGAGGAAGTTATACTACACACCTCTCACTGACCATATTTAGAGTGTATTGATTAACTATTTATATATATTTGTATATATACTCTGTTTTTCACGTTGCATGAGGTTGCTGTTTTTTGAGTGTTGTGAGGCCTCATATTGTAGGTTGAGGGAATTGTGGAACCAATCAATTATGAATTTTGGAGACACTTTGGAGGGACGTGATATTAAATAGGAGATCTTTGTCAAAAAGAAAAAAAGAAAGACCCACTTCTGCTGCTGTATATAGTGTATGAAGTGAAAATGAAATAGAAAAAAATTAGGAGCAGTGAAATAGAACTACAATTTTAGCAATGAGAAAAAATCATTGTTAAATTAGTATTGGTGTTAATATTAAGAATCGACAGAAAATTTTGTATAATTAAAACTACAATCCATTTTGTTTGTTTAATATATCTTCAACTTGAAATTCAAAAACCCTTGTAGACACCCCATTTTTGACCGCCAAAGGCCACATGTTCCGTCATCACCGAGTTTGTCTCGGCTACGGGAGCTTGGGGATACGATCGGGGAAGGTCAAGCTAGTGAGCACCGCCCGTTTCGCCCGCGGTCCGAAGGACCGTGCCTCTACTAGCACCGTGATATCGTTTTTCTGAAAAACTTTAATGTGTTCGTTAACCAATTGTTAGCACTAGAATTACTATGTCTCGATGCCGCGCAGCAAACAAGTATAGAACCAAATGCTACGCCTAAATTGGGAACAAAAACATTTTATGTTCTGTTTTGAAAAGGTTTGCGTATCGCAAGTAGCGCTAAAAGTGCAGATTTGCCACCCTCAAGTGGGCTCTTTTAGAAAGATGATTTTGCCACTATCTAGTGGGCTTAAAACTCACAGTTTTACATGCATTATTCCAACTTTAGGATAATTCAACCTCCATTCCCAGGCATTTCAAGCAGTTTATATCACATAAGCAGCTACGCCTCATGGTAATCATATGTCATGGCAACACTCACGTTTACGCGTCGATATGCTAAAAGCCATAAAAGCCTTACCTAGTTACTCCCGAGCTCAAAACAGAAACTAGTCAGTAATCAATTGCTGATCCTCAGTCTCATCGTTATAAAAATTGGCTACAATGCATCACATGCAAAAATGCAATTACGGCAGGCTCGGCTAACCTAAGCATGGCATATCGAAATGCCGATCGATAACTATCACATAGTATATTTTTGAGAATTCGCAAGGTACGAATGCAGTTAGCGTGATGTACCGAGCCTAATGGGCATGCAGTACAAATGTATGGATGCACGCATGCATAGCATAAGGTATGCTAATATACACGTTTCTCTAACTGCCGCTATATACTACATTAAACGTCAGTGTAAATAAAATAGGTAAGAAAAATGAGGTTTGGAATGAACATACACATCAACGATTTCACATCACATTATTCTACAGATGCTCGCCCTCGCAGCTCTGTACAGCACTGTGGACAAAAAATATTACAAGAATTAATTACTACGCCAAGCTAATTAACATAATTACAAATATAACAAATTAACTAATTAATTAAAGAGGAAAGCCTCGGGAAGCGCGCGCCATACGCAAGCTGCCGCATATGTATATTATACACCTTTCTCCTCTGGAGGTTGTCTATATTAACCTCTGGACCGCATCCTTGGACAGAGGGGATCACCACGGCTAAAGAGAACTTCTTCCACCGGCAGGTAGTATGTCCATCGGCAGACAAAATAGGGTCTGTCGGCAGAGAAAATGGCTGGGTCGGACGATTACACATGCCGGTCGGAACAGAGTATTCCTGCATGAACCTGCAACTCACAGCATACAAGAGGGCAAAACGAAAGCAATGGCAGCATTATTTCGAGGCAATGTATGCAGCAACCATGTCTCTTATCAATTGTGATGACTCAAAGACATGTGCCTCGGTTTAATCGGCCACCAATCACGCAATTTCCATGATTGAATGTCCAAAGGAACCAAGCATGCAACTTTGGTTCAAATGCTGGCAAACGCAATCAACAAATTTAGGCCCTATCTATCACCAATTCAATGAACAAGGCATGCATGCAAATGCAATGCAACCTAGGCATACAAGCTAGGAATTGGCAAACATGACATGTCATGAGCGACTTATGCAATCAGTGAAGTCTACATATGCAATGCAATGCCATGCGCATGCAAGATGGACTTATCATGAATTGGAACTTAAGAATGGCCAAGAGACAGTGGAAGAATCAAAAAACGAAAAAAAGAATAGGTGTAACAAGTGCTTAAAGAGTGAGACCTAGAATGGCAATGCACACACACATGCACATAAGACCAACACTTAAGCATGATCAATACAACAATCAGCACACTTGAAAGAAGGAAACATGGACAAGTTAGCTATGCAACATGAGTATTGAATCATGTTAGGATGATGCCGGAAGATTCACTAAGTCGTACAGAAAATCAAGGCTCAAAAACATCGCAGAATAGTCCCAAGTGTTCAAAGAAAATCAATAAGGCATTAACTACACTTAACATGACCAACATGCATATAGAAGGACCAAAAAACAGGGGTTTAGCATGAGTTAAAACAAGCTAAAGGATACTTATCGATGGCATTCCTAAGTGGCCCAAAATACAAAAGGCATATACCAATGGCCAAAACATGGAGCATTGCAACACATGCTTTTTCAAACTCATTAAAAAGGCATGCAAGGCATCAACGAACATAGGAAAATGGGCGACTGAAATTAGCATGTAATGATGATTCCAAATCACCAAAACACATGCAAGATGGCATGACTACCCACATGCACATATCAAGGCAACCAAGCCCAAATACAAATGGAGCATATATAATGGCATGCAAAAGATCAACCAAACCGATTATGGACAGAGCCTAAAACAGGCAAAGACAAGCACATAATCTTCACAAAATGCAAGCCTAGAAACATGCCCCAGACAAAGGCTAAACAACTAGACATGTTAAGGCACAAATAGGATTACATGGCAACTATCTAAAGCATGCATGAGTTCCGAAAACCAAACTTGAAATCAAGGTGTTATATCAATGGATATATAGAGCATGAAAAACAAACCAAACAGTGCTCAAACGACACACTCAAGCATAGGCTTTCCTTAAGAGGCCAAAATTGTCCTTTTCAAGGAAAACAAGGAGAAGGGGGGGTGGCCCTTCTCCTTCTTAGGGAAGCTTCAAGGATCATCTCACCACTGATAATCCTCAAGATTTCAGTGTGTGAAGAGACCTCAACACACAAATCCCGGAGCTAGCCAGCAAAAGTGGCTCAAAATGAGGCTTTATGAGGCCTAAGGGTGGTCAACAACCCTCAAACAACAAAACACTCTTATAACAATAAAGCAGGGCTTAAAATAGAACTTATTTTATGTTATACACATAATCACAAAAACAGCTTCTAAGACTAGTAGAAAATTGATGCAAGATGGGGAAAAAAAAGGCTAGTTTCTCACCCTTGATGCCTTCGTTCACAACAATAGATGCTCCAATGCTCCTTGAGCTAATCCAAGACCACAAAGATCTACAAAACACACTCTTTAGAAACTTCATCTCCAAGAGGAAGGTGGAAACAAACTAGTGTTTTGTGTGCAATAGTGAGACACAAAACACCTAGTAGCAAAAATGAGGGAAAAGAGAGAAGATATGGCTTGTGTACTGTCAACGCCTAACCCTAGAAAACCAGAGCTCTCCTCTGTATTTTTCTCTCAAAAATTGTCTAAGCCCCCTCCTTTTTTTTTGCCGTTAGAGAGAGTTCCTCTCTAATGCCTCTTGTAAGGCTTACAAGACAAAGGCTTTGCAAGAGGGAGATCCCTCATACACGTTATGGCAGGGGAGCAAAAGCTAAACAGCTGTGCCAAAA